TGAATTCAGCACCACATTGGATGGGTTTGAATTCACGAACCACCTTGGATGGGTTTGAACTAGAAGACCCAATTTGTAGTTTGTTATTGTTATGACAACTTTCCTTTTATATTGATCTCATCCCTCGCTCTTTTTACCAACTCGATCCCCAGATGTCATGGAAGAATAAAGATCATGTTACCGACACATCAACAAGGATCGGTAGTAAGAAGAGAGAGGGATGAGAATAGTATAAAGGGAAAGTAATGATAATGATAACAAACTACATATTGGGTCTTCCAATTCAAACACATCCAAGGTGGTACGTGAATTCAAAACTTGAATTCAGACCAATCCAAGGTGGTACGTGAATTCAAAACCAAGTACCTAATATGGTATCAGAGCAACGCTACGTCGCATGCTCGATGCCTACCAAAAAGGTAGGGGCCCTCTCCTTGATTGAGGGATGAGATCAGTATAAAAGAAAAGTAGTGATAACAATAACAAACTACAGATTGGGTCTTCTAATTCACCCATCCAAGGTGGTACGTGAATTTAAACCCAATTTTCTAATATCGTATGAAGGCATACACAAACATCCCTCTTATGCAACTGGAATCTATTTCTCAACACAAACGCATGACATGCTTCTGAGTATTCTCGTGATGATCTGACCTCATAACATGCATATATCACCAAAATCCCCATGTTTGTATGAACCACTAGAGTAACTAAGTGCATATATGCAAGCAAAACTTCTCAGGAGTGACTCGGCATATGTCGTTTATTGAAACCCTTCATACTGGGTATGGACTCCTATAGGATTCGGCCCGATTTGCAAGATACCTCAGTTGGGTTAAGTTACTACACTAACGACTAAGCTTTAGCCAAGGTCTACAAGAAAGGAACAGCTTGTTAACCGAATTTTGTCACATATTAAGGAGTTGGCATATGCAAAAAATTGGGCTTTTCATTTGTCAAAAAGAGCAATCATTGATAATTTTCAGATCACATGGTGTCAGCAGAAACCTAGATCCATTATTCTGGTGCGTGGTCATTCCCTGAGCCCCAACATTTCAAGTTAAATATCGATGGTGCTTCTTTACAGAGCCCAGGTTTGACAGGTGGTGGTGATGTTATCAGAGATAGTACTGGTGTTTTTGTTGTTGCCTTTTCTAAGCCATTTGGATATGTTTCTTGCACTTGACGAAGGTATTCATCTGGCCATCAAGAGGGATTGCTTTCCTCTCCAAATAGAAAGTGTCATACTTGCATGTGAATATAATTCACGATCGTTGTCGTGCCCCATGGAGATTGCATCCGATTGCCGCAAATTATCGGAGTAGACTTTCAAGTAGTACATGGTCAATTTCCCATATTTTTCTTGAGACGAATATGGTAGCCGATGCCCTTGCTAAGAAGGTCTCTTTTAGTTCTGGAGCTACTATTTAGCGCTTCCAACAGCCGGACTTTCTTTCGTTGTTTTTATTTCATGATTGGATGCAACTGTCTTATTATAGGGTTGTAAAATAATGAAATGTCTCTTCTTGATTTTTTACTAATGAAAAATGGGTAGGGGGCCTTCTCCCCCACTGACTTAACCCAAAAAAAAAACTACTAAGCTTTAATCTATCAAGGTGATTAACCCACCTTAGGATTTCGTTCTGGGACATGAGTCATTGAGCATTGGTCATTTAAGATATTATTGTTCATGGAGCATTAGCCATGAGACATTAATATTTGGATATTTTCATAAAGATTACGGCTATTGAGTATTTGATGCCAAAACTTGTACTTTCCAAGGGAAGGTATCTCACTGAATCGGTCTTGTAATATCACAACAATGCCATCCCAATACGTCGATGATCCATTCTACCAACTTCTACCATAAGTTATAAGTTCATGGTTTATCATCTTCTCTCTCCTTAACAGTTTGGAATCATGCATCCAGAGCCAGTCCTGATGCCTTTTAAGGTAATGCAACTAGGACAAGTATCCACAGTCTAGCATTATGACGATATTGGATGAAGATGTTTTGGGCCTTCTACTTCTCTTACATAAAGCTTGAGATGGGTGGCCTATACTTTAATTCGAAACTTGAGATCAATCATGCAGTTTAATGTCGTACTGTAAGGACGGTACATAAAATTGTATAAATAAAAAGGGACTTAACATGGTCTATAGACCATTTACAATGGACATACAAGAATGAAAAAACATAACATAAATGACATGAACATTTAATTGGGCATATCCATTTGTGGTTTATGGGACAATAAATCATAAGATGGTAAGATCTGGGGTTTTTTTGCTATGCTCATTCACCTTAAGAGATCATAACATGGAGTAGACCTAGGTGCATGTGCCTGAGCTGCATCAAGCAACATAAGGTCATGTGGCATGGACCATGAATGAGGTTGTACGCTGCATCAGATAATATACACCAATAATACAAAGCAATTTAAGGTCACATAGTGTGGGCTGTGTATAGACAACATGACGTACTGGAGAATGAACACTATATAAGAATTTAACCCTTAAGATAAGAACTATAATAACAAGAAATTTAGGGTCATGTGCCATAATATCAAATAGTTTAGGGTCATGCAATGTGGACCAATATGGGGCTGAGCCAATCATGCCTATATGGATACCTAAACAATTTAATATGCTCCATGTAGGGGCTTATAAGAGGGGATTGTATATAGTACTTCTTTAGAAAGCATGCATAATTAGGAGGCATAGCATATTCACCATTATTTATAAGAGAATAGGTATCTTTCAAGCAGACCCTCCTTACCATGGTTGGGCCTTGCCTTTTTTAGCCTATGAATTTCATAGAACATAAGCCATCAAGGACAAGTCATATAGGACCAGGTCCATGAGGCACAAGTCATATAGGACATGAGCACTAAGGCATGTTATGTAGAACCATGAGATATGAATCCTATAAGACATGAGTCATAAGGCATAAGTCACATGGTTTATGTGTCATAATGTATTAGTACTTTTAAAAATGGGCCATGAAGCGTAGGTCACATGAGACATGAGTCATAATGCATAAGTTGCTTCAAAATGGACGTTGATGATCGTCCTTTTGTTCTTTAGGACCATATCTATGACAATGGGGATTTTGGAATATATGATGGAGAGACAAGTTCTCTTTGTCCAAACAAATATTCTTATTGTAGACCAAATGACCCATCAACACGAAATTAATTTCGGCAGAAAAAGAAGAAACCATAGGCTGCAAAGTGACAAAAAGATCCGTAAAACAATTCTTAGTAGCCAAATAACTTGGGGTTAAAATTGATTTATAATTTAGGAAACCCAAATCTAAATGGTTTGAACAAGATTTGAGAAGGAAATACGGCTAAATCCCAAATGACTATCCAGCAATAAAGTATTATCTGCAAATATACACAACTACATAACAACCAAATATATATTAAAAAAAAAAAATCTAACACATGATTTTATAGCTATTAGAACGGAGAAACAAATGGTACAGGCATCAATAAATGGTGGAGCCAAAAAAGTAGAGTCTGCACCAAAAAAACATGTATGAGAAGAAACCAGAAAAAAAAATACCTTTTTCAGCTGAAATCTGAGATGTTAAGACTCTATCGCATAACGAGGGTGTTGGAGAGAAGGAAAAGATATATTATGTATATATATGCAGAGAAGCAGCGTGCAGAGTGCACCTTCTCACAAGACTCGGTCGTCTTGACTCGTGGAATAGGACAACTTTTCTTTTAATTTGATTTGATAAAAGGGAAGGGGGGGGGGGGGGATGCATGCACGTTGTGAGGGGAAATGTGCAATTTTTTAAAGAAGGGTGCGGTTTGTATAGAGCTTAGGCTCTGAACAATCAAATTAGAGCCTACCTTCAATAGTGTCGATAAATGTGGTTTTAATATTGGAAATGTTTGTAATAGTCTTAAAATATATTTGCATATTCATTTATAAAGTTTAAAGCTTCAAAAATAGTATAAATCGACAGATCTATGAAAACTTGAAAATCCTGAAAATTGACAGTCCAAAGATTTGTTACAAAATACATCAAATCCAAATGGGCCAACACATAAATCCTAACCGCTATACTCTTTTTAGATTCAAAACTAGAACATCACCCAAAAATCATCACAAATAGATATTATATTGCTACGAACAAACAATAGCAGCGATAAAACTGATAATAATCGATGATCATGGGATAAAACAAAGCAACCATTTATATGATCACAAGAAAAAAGAAAGAAAACAAAAAACATGGTTAAAATGTTTCTCTTAAAGTTTTTCAACAAAGGACTCATTAAATGGTTACAGAAAAAAAAAAAACATTGCATCCATGATTAAAATAATCTATCCATAATATCTTCAAACATTTTAAGGATGCTTTTTTTAACCAAAAAAATGAGAAAAAAAAATTCATCCAAGTAGAGACATAACAGAGAAAAAATGATTGAATACCAATTACAGGACTATAGGATTGATGAATCAGTAATCGATCCATAAAACAGGAGTAGAGATCGATTAAAGAAGAAACCATAGGCTGCAGAGTGACAAAAAGATCAGTAAAAAAATTCTTAGTAGCCAAATAACTTGGGGTTAAAATTGATTTATAATTTAGGAAACCCAAATCAAAATGGTTTGAACAAGATTTGAGAAGGAAATACGGCTAAATCCCAAATGACTATCCAGCAATAAAGTATTATCTGCAAATATACACAACTACATAACAACCAAATATAGATATAGAAAAAAAAATCTAACACATGATTTTATAGCCATTAGAACAGAGAAACAAATGGTACAGGCATCAAAAAATGGTGGAGCCAGAAAAGCAGAGTCTCCACAAAAAAAAACATGTATGAGAAGAAACCAGAAAAAAAATACCATTTTCAGCTGATATCTGAGATGTTAAGACTCTATCGCATAACGAGGGTGTTGGAGAGGAGGAAAGAGACACATTATATATATATATATATATATGCAGAGAAGCAGCGTGCAGAGCGCACCTTCTCACAAGACCCGGTCTTCTTGGCTCGTGGAAGAGGACGACTTTTCTTTTAATTTGATTTGATAAAAGGGAAGGGGAAGGGGGGAATGCATGCACGTTTTGAGGGGAAATGTGCAATTTTATAAATAAGGGTGCGGTTTGTATAGAGCTTAGGCTCTGAACGATCAAATTAAAGCCTACCTTTAATAGTATATATAAATGTGGTTTTAATATTGCAAATCTTTGTCATAGTCTTAAAATATATTTTTATATTCATTTATAAAGTTTAAAGCTTCAAAAATAGTATAAATCGACATATCTTTGAAAACTTGAAAATCTTAGAAATTGACAGTCCAAAGATGTGTTATAAAATACTATTTTCAAAACTTGAAATCCATTTTTTTTCTCATGTTCGTCCATCTTGATGTCGAGATAATGGATTTGAAGATATTTGAGCATTAAAACAACCTCTTCTAGTAAAATTTTTAAAGCAAGCTCAAATTTGATTGTTTAGAGCGGCTTTATATAAACTTTTGCCCTTTAAAGAAACCTTTTCTTTTTTTAAATAGTGAATCCGCGCTCTCTCTTTCTCTTTAAGAGATAAAGAGAAGGGTGGCCGTTTATATAGAGCCGAGGCTCTAAACAATCAAAGTAAAGCTTACCTTCAAATGATATCGAGAAATATAGTTTCAATACTGTAAGGTTTTATGATAGCTTTAAAATATATTTTTATCTTTAATTATATAATTTAAAGATTTAAAAATAGTGTACAGCGAGCAATGAAAATATTGAAAGTTGATTGTCCAAAAAGACGTTACAAGATGCACTATTTTCCAAAACTTGAAATCAATTTTTTTTTCTCATAACAATGTATCTTGATATCGAGATGATCAATTTGATGATATTTGATCATCAAAACAATCTCTTCTAGTAAAATTTTTGAGGTAGACAGTAATCTGATTGTTAAGAACCTAAACTCTATATAAACTTTCCCCCCTAATGGGTGGAGAATGTCTACAGCTGACACCTCATAGGGGGTTTATCCACCTTTTGACTTGGCCTCCAAGTCAAATTTAACCTTTCTAATATAAAGCCTTTTATTTGGGTTAACCTTTTATCAATGGCAGACGGTTTTTCGAGTCAACCGACTCACCTATTATCATGCGATCCCTTGTCTATCAAAAGTCCATCTTTAACATGGATGTTAAAAAATAATACACCCACTAAAAGTTGAAATAGAGGGTGGAAAAAAGAATTCAAAAAGCTATATTTATATTTTTTTAAAAAAAAAAACATTCTAATTTTTAGATCATTCTCAAGGTTAAGATTATCGAACCATAAAATTTTGTATCAAAAATAAATCTTTGAGGTATATATCTAGGAAGAAGAGCGCACAAGAATAGATGAGTCGGCGGACTCACCAAATATTTTTCCAATCTCATTGAGTTTTAGGTCACAATTTTTATCACGCGTGACGGGCAAGGAAGACTACGACAACCCACATGCCACCATCACCGTCCATTGTTGAAGCACGTTGGAAGACACAAATCCTTACTTGGGGATACATCCTCGTGCTCAGGTCACCAAATAAAATGTAAAGATGATGGTTTACACTTGAAGGCCAGGATACATGAGAAGACAACCAAAGAAAGGAATTGCCCCTGTTGAAGTTAAAAATTAAGAATGACACAGGCCAAGTAATGGAAATTGATACCCCACCTTGGAGTATGTCTTGGGGGACGTATGTCTAGGTCGGTCTTCTCTTGACTTGTTTTCTCTTTTCTTCTTTTTTTAATATTTTTATTGGATGTTCCTCTATGAGAGCAATAGATGTATAAAATTTTATGTGATTTGAATTGTAGAAAAAATTAAAATTAAAATACGAAATGAATTTGTGACCATCAGATCGGCCCCGATATTGGATTCATATGTACTTGTAGGCTAGTGAGTCTACGCCAGCTTTTTCCATCTAATATATATATATATATATATCATATGCTTTGCACATGACTAAAAAGTATTAACTATCTAATGAAAGCACAAATTTTTTAGATAAAAAATAAAAAATACATATATTTTTGTCATTGAAAATATAAAAATAATAATAATTATGTGAAAAACTCACTAAAATTGTGAAGTAGAGCAAAACTTCGTAATTATTTTAATTGCTTATAATTTTTTTATGTTATTTTTTACTTCAAATAGAACATCTGCAAAATAAGATAATGTATAATTTAATTCAAAACAAGTGCTTATGAAAATTTTAAAACAATAATTACATACCTTGAGAAAAGCTAGGGTTATCTTACTTTTAAAGATTAATGTGTTCTTCAATCTTCATAAACTGGGAAAAACACCAAAAAAAATACAAACATAGGAATACAAAAAAAAAAAATTACTACAACTTACCTTCAATATGGACTTTGTTAAACTTCATTCAATGGTACATAATACCTGAAAATCGCAAAATCCACGTCATAATGTGAAAGATAGGGCAGGGGATTGCTTTATAATTATCATTCAATTAATAATTTATAATGTATAACTAACCAACCGTCGTTATGAGAAATATTAAAAAATAAGATTAATAATAATAATAATAATAAAAGAATAAATGTTGTTCATCACCTTCACCAAATAAAAACGAACAATAACAATGACACCTAGAAATAAAAATAATAATAATTTGCAACCAATAGTTCATAATTCAGTTACCAAGATAATTTGATATACTCTATAAGCAAAATTATAACCACAAATATGTCAGCCTTTGCTATATATTACATAAGCAAAGCCATTAAAAATTCTACACCTAAGCGAACTCCCCATTTCAAAGTCCTAGGAGAGAATGTTCAAGTAGACATGAAAATAAATTTAGATGAACAAACACATACACACAAAAACAAAAGGCATTTAAAGAAAATTTAAAGTTAACAAAATGGTACTAATATAACAAAACCATGCGCTTTTTAATCATTTGAAAACTGAGTCATTAGTGTCGACGTTGATGGGGCATCATTACAGATTGCGTGATGATTCATCCCCTCATTAATGAAAATACTATTCCAGGGTATGGCATCTGTTTAGGGTAGTCCGAAGTCATTATTGGCCCTTGGATGTGCAGGGTTCAATCTGAACCATTACATCCACCGCAATGCCAACCCTAAATCAAAATCAAGAGAAAAATTAGGAAATTCGAAATAACACTTGTCAAAGCTCAATACATAAATAGAAACATTTGTCCAAAATAAGGGAAACTGAAAAGGAAAGAGAATTGTTTATGCATGTTGTTATATACCTTTCTATCTAAATCTCTCTAAGAATTATATTTCTTATAATTTTGATTTCATAATTTTATACAGGAAAAAAAAGGGAATCATCTCGAACAATTATCTCTCATATAATTTAGATAACTCAAAAGGGCATTATTAGTTGTACATAGCGGAATCACATGCACTGCATGAAGACATGAAATAAGGATAATAGAAATAAATATTAATAAAAAATTTAAAATAAAATAAATTAAGAATTAGAGAATTTCATAAGCATATGCGACATAAACCAAATTTTACTTCATTTCTCCCCATTTTCTATTTCAATTAGTTTCTCATTGTAATTGTTACATATATATATATATATATATATATATATATATATAGTAAGTAAGTACGTTCACGACTCCTACGTACGACGTAAGACGTACTACTAGTAG